AAAAAAAAAAAAAAAAGAAAAGAAAAGAAAATATTGTTGAGTGAATGAATGAAAGAAGGTGGGATCCTGCCAGAGAAAGAGCTTTAGGCAGGAGCTTTCAAGTTCCTGCCTTTGTGTCTGCAGGGCAGCACCCAGCCCCCGCCTGATCCTTCCCTTTGTGGCACACATAGGAACGTACAGTTCTCAGATTCAAATGATGATGAGTCTGTCACGCTGTGCCGCAGATATTCCAGGACAGGACCTCGTTCTGTGTAACCCTCCCTAGTCCTCCACAATTAGCCCTGGGCCTGGTGCAGCAGTCCTTCCACAAATGCCTAGGATTGAGCATTGCTAGAATTCATATCTGGAAAACAATTTCCCCCTGCAAAATTCAGCTCAAATTCCAACATGAAAGAATTCCCAATGGTCAAATCTGAAACAATTCAAGCAAAGAAAAACATAATATTACTGAATTACAACCCATAAAAAAATCCGTGAACCCACACTAAGGGAAATAAGTAACAGGGTAAGTAAACGGGGAAGATTATGGTAGTTTTTTCTTACAGTAGAATTCTAACTCGTAAAAGGGTAATTATCTCCTCACAAGATGCTTATTAATAACAAAGAAAAATATGATTTACAGTGAAGAACTCTGGCAGCTGTCACTTTCACCAACTAATCAAGATTAAATCATCATTAATAAGAAGGACGTTTCACTCTCCCACAAGGCCACAAATTATAGACAATTGACTTAAGCATCAGAATCGCCAGATAGACCCAATTGAAGGATCTTCTACAAAATAACTGACCGATATCCTTTAAAAGTATTGCGGTTTCAAAGAACAAGACAAAAGATCCGGGAATTGTTACAGCTTAGAGGAGACCTAGGACGTCTCACGACAAAAGAAAGGGCGAGTGGGATCGTGGATTGGACCCTGGACCACATCCAATTAAGGACATTAGTGAGAAAACTGGCAAAATTTGGGTAAGGTCCGAGGAAGAGGTAACCTGGTTTTGACGTTTGAAGGATTATGTAAAATGCTCTCACGGGAAGCTGGGCGAAAGCTACACGGGAACTCCTTGCTGTACTGTAGTAACATTTGTGTAGATCTAAAACCAGTTTGAATAAAAAGTTAAAGACATTTCAAGAATATACACTCTAGGCGCAAACACTCTGCAAGTACGGCTAAACGGAGGCGAAGGTCGCAGAGCGGTGCTGCGCCTCTCTTCGCATGTCTACGGCCCGGAGCGCGAAGCCGCGGCGTTTGAGCCTGCGGGCGGACCGTAGCGCCGGCCGGAAGCGACAGTGAGGGCTGGTGACCGCCGCAGTGGCCGGGGAGGCCGCGAGACGTAGTCTGTCTGTCTCCTCCTGACAGCCCCCCAGCGCGAAGGGCGTCGCCATGTCGTCGGTGAGCCCCATCCAGATCCCCAGCCGCCTCCCGCTGCTGCTCACCCACGAGGGCGTGCTGCTGCCCGGCTCCACCATGCGCACTAGCGTGGACTCGGCCCGCAACCTGCAGCTGGTGCGGAGCCGCCTGCTCAAGGGCACGTCGCTGCAGAGCACCATCCTGGGCGTCATCCCCAACACGCCGGACCCGGCCAGCGACGCTCAGGACCTGCCGCCGCTGCACAGGTAGGCCGGGCGGCCCCCGAGCGCGGAGGTTCGGTGCGGGGCAGCCTTTGCGGCTCGGCTCGGCCTCCTCAGCCTCCTCCCATGAAAAATGGGGAAGACAGTCTGCCCGGTGATCACTACTGAGATCGTGAAGCAGTTTCAAGCACCTGGTGAAATCTCTGTACAGTCAAACCTGCCGCGGTCACTGATCCTCCTCCCTGTCCCCCACCCCGCCCTTGGTCTTTGTCTCCTAGGCCCTTCCTTTCTCCCTGGATAGTTTTTGCCTTCTCTTTCCTCCTGTTCCCTTTTCTTCCTCTTCCCGGCTCCCCTTTTCTCCCTCCTTTGTGTTATTTTTGTTCTCTGAGACACTCCACACCTTTTCTCCTTTTCCTTTCCCATTCCTAAACTGCTTACCCCTCCCGGTAAGTTTTGGGTGCTTTCTGCACCCCCTGCCGCCTTTTTCCTCCTCCTCCTCGTACTTCTGCTCCCTTTCCTAAAGGGGCCTTTCTTACTCCCAGTTCTATTGGTTCCCTTTCTGGAACTTTCCTAGCTTCTCACTTGTGCTCCTTCTCTCATATCTCAGCATTTCTTTTCTTAGGCCCCAGGCTTACCACTAGGTTGCCCTACTTGTGAGACTTTGGGTGAGCGGTTTGACCTGCCTCTGTTTCTTTCTTCATCTGCAATTTGGAAACTAACAGCATCCCTCTCTTAGGTGTGTTGTGAAGCTTAAAGAATGTGCGTAATTTGCTTTGCATGCGCCGTGCTTGATGGATAGCTGTGCTGTTTGGTACAGTACAGTGTGTGTGCTGTAGAGCACTTGAAATGTGGCCGATCCAAATTGAGATACTGGAGTGACCAGTTGTCCTGCTTTGCCAGGCCTGCCCTAGCTTTAGCATTCAAAGTCCTATGTCCCAGAAAGCCCCTCAATCCCAGGTTAACCGTTACCCTAAATGTGCTGTAAGGATGCTAATGCAGGACAGATTTGGGGAAAGTTTAGTATGAACAATGTTTTGTTAACTTTATGTAGATTAAATATTGGAATGGTAATATTTCGACTACTTGAGGTTAAATAAAATACTAAGATTTCACCAGTTTTTGCCTTTATAATGTGGCCACTAAAATTACATATGTGGCTTGCATTATATTTTTGTCGGACAGTGCTGGTGTGCTGTCATCAGGTATCTTCAAACCCACCTCCCAGGCCACTGCCGCCTATCCTTAACTACTTGAAGCATTTTTCCAATTTAAAGCTGCTCCTTCCCTGCAATTATCCTTTATTTTTAAAACAGCCAAATACAGGGCGGCACCTGTGGCTCAGTGAGTAGGGCGCTGGCCTCGTATACTGAGGGTGGAGGGTTCAAACTCAGCCCATCCAAACTGCAACAACAACAACAAAAATAGCTGGGTGTTGTGGCAGGTGCCTGTAGTCCCAGCTACTTGGGAGACTGAGGGAAGAGAATCACCTAAGCCCAAGAGCTGGAGGTTGCTGTGAGCTGTGATGTCAGCACTCTACCAAGGGTAACAAAGAGTCTCAAAAACAGTCAATAATTGGTGGGGGTAGGGGGTCAGAGGTCAAGAATGATTTGTTTTTGCAGGTCTCTGACCTCCCCTGCATTGGTTTAGGACTCCTAAGAGTTTCCTGACTCTGAGTGGATTTCATGAGGGCTGAAATGCCTCATTTTTATTCAAAATGTAATTATGCACATTTTTTTAAGGACAGTTTGTAGCTTCGGATTGTCATATGAGACTAGTACCTCTCGTCTCCCCTTCTTTTAAACAAACAACCCCCCCCAAAGCAACAACAACAAAAATTCCCACAACACCCTGATGTTCATTCACATAGTAAAAGCCTTGCTTTTCTCAAGCATGGAAAATATTTTGGCTCCTATCTGATCTGCCTGAGTGGAGTTGGACACTTTTCAGATTTTGGTACTTTCCAATCAATTGCACTGGATTCCAATTTCCCAACATATGAACCCCCTCCTTGAACTTCTGCTTAGTTTTACTATAATTTTTCACCTTCTGTGCCTGGGCACTTAGTTGATTGTTGAGGCAAGAGTTCTCATTATCATATATCTTGTTTTATTTCTTCTATGCCTATATATTGATTACTTATGGGTATGCTGTGAATTTTAAAAGAAGAGTTAGTTTTATTTTAATTTTTTTTTTTTTTTGAGACAGAGTCTTTCATTTTATGACCCTGGCTGGAGTGCAGTGGCATGATCATAGCTCACTGTACCTTGAACTCCAAGAAGTCCTCTTTCCTCCACTTCCCAAAGCGTTAGTATTACAGGTGTGAGCCACTGTACCAGCCTAATTTTAATTATTTATGTTTTGAGACAGAGCCTCAAGCTGTCACCCTGGGTAGAGTACTGTGGCATCACAGCTCACAGCAACCTCCAACTCCTGGGCTGAAGCAATTCTCCTACCTCCGCCTCCCAAGTAGCTGGGACTACAGGCGCCTGCCATAACCGACTGGGTTTTTTTGTTTTTTTAGGTTACAGTTGTCATTGTTTGGTGGGCCCAGGTTGGATTCAAACCCGCCAGCTCAGGTATATGTGGCTGGTGCCTTAGCTGCTTGAGCCACAGGTGCAGAGCCCCTAATTTTTTAATGACAAGAATCTCACTGTGTGCCCAGGCTGGTCTTGAATTCCTGGTCTCAAGTGATTCTCTCAACTCAGCCTCCTCGATAGTTGATTCTACAGGCTTTAACCACTGCCCTGGCTTAGTCATATTTTAGGTTTGACTGTTTATTGGTGTTATTCTGGCAAGATCTAGAAGATTTTTTAGTTTCTCTTATGTAAATCCTTTCAAGACAACAGGAACTAAATTCTTTTGCCTGGAAATAATCACCAATAATCAGATAATGTGTTCTCTGATTTTTGATGTTCATATTGTACCTTTGTTTTAAATGAGTAGCAATGTTAAAACTTAATCATTCAAATTAGAAATCATACATTGAAAAGTTGGTATTACAGGTGTGAGCCACTGTACCAGCCTAATTTTATTTATTTATTTTGTTTTATAGAATTCTTTTTATAGAATTCTAGCATTACAAGGACCCGTCAGACCATCCTAGGAATCCTAGAAATGTTTGCTGCTTGAAAAGTCTGTCTGGAAAGATTGTACCATATTCTTTGGTAATAGGTTCCAGAGTCTTTTTCCCCCTAAAATATGGCCTTTAAAACACTCTCTATTAGAGAAGAAAAAGAGCTTTAATAGTACAAATTTTGAGTTACCCACAACATTGGTCTGGTTTTAAATACAAATCTCTCCTTCCCCGGTTACCTGCTTTCCAGATGGTGGTCCTGCTCCAGAAGGAAGGTGGGGGCTCTGCTCCGAATCTTGTTTCCTTTACACCATCCAGGTGGCACTGCTCAGTCCTCACTGAGCGGCAGAAGAGTCTGCTCCCCTGGGTTCTTTGCCACACACAGAGGAGCAGGGCCTGTGCCACTTTGCTGCTTGGAACAGCACAGTCTCCTTCTGTGTGTCCGTGTTGAGGCGTGTGGCCGACAGGAGCCTTTTAAAGGCAGAGCTTCATTTGCCCTGCAGTATAGAACTTGGCTCGTGGGCCGCCTCAGGACACCCTGTGTTGCTCTGCTTAACTGAGCTGTATTTTTACTGATTTCCTGAGAAAGCCATTGTTTTCTTAAGGAAAATGGGTGGTAATTTCACAGTACCTGTATAATACCTTTCCATGCATTTGTTCTTTTTGTTTTTTTTTAAAGACACCTTTCATGCATTTCTAGATAATCATCCATTGTCCATCCAGCCTTACAGTCTTTAGTCATTTCCCCGTAGTGCCAGGTTTTAAGTCTTTGTTGGCTTCTTCATCTGCAGAGCCCCGGTGAGTTTCTTTGGGTTCTGTAGTAAAACAGGTTAATGTTGCATATTCAGCAGGTGCACAGTTCCATAATTTGGGTTCTTTCCCTGTTCATCACTCCTGTTTGTATCTGTTAGACTCCTTTGGCATTCAAGAAATACTACCTGACACTGTACTAGTACCATTTTAAGGTTTGGTCTTTTATATCAGCAAGTGTGTGACGGATAGCTTACTTGGGTTCTCCTAAGTCTTCAGTTATTCTTGAGAAAGGTCTGTCTACAGGTAGCATTTCCTAAATTCAAAAGAGGTGAGAATCAAAAATTCTGTAGCAGCAGAAACCTCTTCTATTGTAGACCTGGGCGCTATCCTAATACTCTTCTGCTTGTTCTAAATTAGTATTAAACATGATGGTAAATCTTGCCAGAAATCAAATATTCAAGAAAAGTAGGGTGCTACCAAAGTGAAACTAAAAAGGTATTTCGGTGGCTTTTTCTCAGAAATGTGTAACTTTTGTTTCCAGAGGTTTAGTAGAAATGTTTCTTTTCATTAAGCATCATTAAGATGTAAACATTATATGACATCGGACAGTTAAGTTTGCAAACTCATCCTAGAGAAAGTGCTGTATCCCTCATTGCTGGACATCATCATGGAGCCTCCCCGTGGCCATCAAGCGACTGTTGGGATACTCAGCAGTGAGGTGGGAGCACTTTCTCTAAGATGAGTTTGTGGACTTAATTGTCAGAACTTCTATGACAGCAGCTCTCTGACCATTGCAGAAAGAGTTCCAGAACTGCTCTGAAGGGTGGACTAGGTGCTGGTGTCAGTGCATAGCTCCCTAAGGGAAGTATTTTGAAGTGATAGCTGTGTTTTTCCAGTAGCTCAGCTATTTAGAAGCTATGTTAATAGGCATTTATTTTTATACTTCTTATAGGTACAAATTTATATTGTTCATTGTGGTGGGAAGGGAGTAAAATTTATCTTAAAATTTAATTCAGAGTCTGGGAACGGTGGCTTACGCCTGTAATCCCAAGTACTTGGGAGGCTGAGGCAGGTGGATTGCCTGAGCTCACAGTTTCAAGACCAGCCTGAGTCAGAGGGAGACCCCCATCTCTAAAAATTGCCGGGCGTTGTGGTAGGTGCGTGTAGTCCCAGCTACTTGGGAGGCTGGGGCAAGAGAATCCCCTAAGCCCAAGAACTGGAGGTTGCTGTGAGCTGTGATGCCACAGCACTCTACCAAGGGTGACAAAGTGAGACTCTGTCTCTAAAAAATGGGGGGGGGGATATATTCTAGTCAACTATAAGTGATTTCATGTAAAAACCAACTAAACATGTTAAAAACCTTTATATGTGGCCAGGGAACATGGCTCACACCTGTAATCCTAGCACTTTGGGAAAAGAGGGGGGAGGATTACTTGAGTTGGAAACCAGCCTGGGCAATGTAGCAAGATCCTGCCCCTGTAAAAATGTAGAAAACTTAGCCAGGAGTGGTAGTGTGTCCTTGTACACCCAGCTACCCAGGAGGCTGAGGTCAGAAATTTGAGGTTGCAGTAAGCTACAATGACACCACTGTACTCTAGGCCAGGTAACAGAGCAATGCTCACAAAAAATACATAATAAAACCTTTATTTTGTCTCATTAGACTAAGAGGCATGCTATAAATCCAGCTCAGTTGGGAACATCTTTTCACAGCAAAAACATGTATCTTAAGTGACATCTCATCGTTTCGGTATCACCTTTTATCAGTGACACAGCGCAAATTTACGTCTTAATCTGGAGGTTTGGATTTGTCTTCTCTCTTTGGTTTCTCCTTGGTTTCTGTTTGTAAACCCCTCAGGCCAGCGATCTGTTTCTTGTCTGTGCATGTTTCCGTATACAAATAGAACCGAGCTCTTTCAACATTGGTGAAAGTCTACGATAAACTGTAGTCTAAATTGGTCTCTAATGAATTAAATGTTGCTAACTCTTTCAGGCAAGTCTGAGTTGGTTTTCAGGAAATGGGAAATAGTGCTAACCCACAAGTGATTAGAGACAAAGCAGCCCCAACAGGAGAAAATCAAAGTAATAGGTCCCTGCCTCCTTGTTTCAGCATTTTAAGTATGTGGCTTTTTCTCTTCCCCTTTTCCTCTTTCCCAATTGTTTGGTCTAAGCCATTGTTTAAATCATTTTTGTTCCTTGTACACATGACAGTGACGAACATGGTAAGGAAGGATGGACAAAGACCAAATAAGCCTAAGGCAGGTGCAGCCCACAGAGGAGATAATTGATGAGGAAGTAATCAAGAATTCCTGTGTATAGAAGTAAGCAAATTTACTGACCAGCTCACATGCTGGGTGGTGTTTATTTTTTGTGAGACAGTCTCACTATGTCACCCTCGGTAGAGTGCAGTGGTGTCACAGCTCACAGCAGCCTCCAATTCTTAGGCTTAAATGATTCTCTTGACTCAGCCTCCCAAGTAACTGGGACAACAGATGCCTGCCACAACGCCCGGCTACTTTTAGAGATGGAGTCTCCCTCTGGCTCAGGCTGGTCTCGAACCTTTACGTAAGCTCAGGCAATCCACCCACCTTGGCCTCCCAAGTGCTGGGATTCCAGTTGTGAGCTACCACACCCGGCCTTAAATATATTTTAAATACTGGTAATTTGTTCTGGTATAAGGTTGCCTGACTCCTAGTAGACAAATTTAATTTAAGCTGTATAATTGTTAGGTACTCTTAACATTCTTATGCCTAAATAATATAAATATTTAGAAATTCCTACCTAATTTTTAAAAGAAGTACTGATTACAGTGAGATGGCTAGCTTTGCCTTATAGCTGAGGATAGCAACTAAACAGATCACATTTAATGCTAAATTAAATTGAGAATTTTTTTTTTTTGCAGTTTTTGGCTGGGGCTGGGTTTGAACCCGCCACCTCCAGTATATGGGGTCAGCACCCTACTCCTTTGAGCCACAGGCACCGCCTGAGAAATTATTTTTTAAACTTTAGATGCTCTTTGCTTTTAAAATGAATTTCTCAGAAAATTCTCAGAAACTTTTCGAAGTACATTTCTGTTCTGCCATATTGAATATTGGTAATATTGCTGTTTTTTCTGTTTTTTCTGTTTTCAGGATTGGAACAGCCGCTCTGGCAGTTCAGGTTGTGGGCAGTAACTGGCCCAAACCCCACTACACTTTGTTGATCACAGGCCTGTGCCGTTTCCAGATTGTACAGGTCTTAAAAGAGAAGCCATATCCCATTGCTGAAGTGGAACAGCTGGACCGGCTTGAAGAATTTCCCAGCACCTGCAAAACGAGGGAGGAGCTGGGAGAGCTGTCAGAACAGTTTTACAAATATGCAGTGCAAGTGAGTGGCTTTTATGTTATCTGGTTCCTTTGCTGTACTAGGGTTTGGTCAGTCTGTTAGATGGTGAAGTTTTAGGGCAGTGTACATTTAAATGATTAAGTGATATATTTATTCCAATTTGTTTTTGTGTAGGTTGTATCTGAATCATTCCAGGATATATTACCCAACCCTTGCTAGACTTTTTCCAAAGAATATTTCTAGAGCTTTCTGTATAACTTCCTGTGTCTCCAAATCAGATAATTATTAAACATAAATATTTAAAGCAGAAACTTAAAATACTACACAGAAGCTATGTGTCACTAAAATATCTAGACATCAAACTATGTGGGCTTACTGCTTCAGAAGTCAAGGTCCAACTGTGCTTGGCAATACTGTTGCTAGTAGCAACGAAAATAATTTTATGGTTGGGGGTCAGCACAACATGAACTGTATTAAAGGGTTGCAGCGTTAGGAAGGTTGAGAACCACTGCTATAGAAGGTTAAGCCCATGGGGGGCTAATTTCGAGTGTGATTAAAACCACTGGATGCTGGAGGGAGGCACATGTTAGTTGCACATTAAATATTTGACTTCTAGATAGAACAGAAAGCTCCTCTTCCCACCCCATATTGAAATGAAGTATATTGTAGAATTGTGTTAATAAGAGGTGGTTTCTGCTCTTGGTATAATCTAGTGACTCTTCCTGGATTTATGAGGATTAGATAATGTCTAAATGTCGTGATTGTAAGCACACTGATCCTTGAAAAGTGTGGAAGGCCAGTGTCCCACAGCCTGTGGTATTTCTACCTAACGAGGCATTTCAAGAAACTCCCTTCTAGTGTGATGAACATAGTAAAAAAAATTAAAAATTAGGAGTTGTACTTCCATGGGGGCTAAAAGAAAGAACTTACTCTGAAGAAAAAAACTTTAGTTTGAAGCTAGAATAAGTGTGAAAACTGTTTAGGAGTAACGGAGCTGGAGGAGGTGGCACTCCCCTCATCCCCAGAGCGGGTCTCCCGGGTCTCCCGGGTCTCCGGGGTCTCCCGTCCTGCGGCGGGCAGAGCTGCAGGCTCCCTTTGCTTTGCTTTTACTTTTTCCCACTTTGAATAGACAGAGACTTTGTAAAGGTGTGAAGATTTTATGATGACACTAAAGGAATTTTTAGAGGGAAATAAATCACCGTTAAGTTTTATCCCTTCACACACTGAGGTAGTTCTGTCTCCTGGTCTTGGCCCACATTCAATTTTATATTTTGCTTTCATGTCCGTGTCTGATTTTATAGACTCGCACAAATTTTATAGAGTTAGGAAATCAAAATTTTATCATTTCTCTTTTTAGACATTAAGATTGCTTTCAGTTGACACTTCTCTCATCCCTTCTGTATCTGCCTCTACAGCCCTTTTCGATAGACTTCTTTAATAGCCTCCTAATTACCACCCCCTAGTTTCTTCTTTCTTTAACACCTCCTATTCATTGAGTCTTTCTTTAAAAAGTGGGTGCATGCCTTTCCCTTGAGTTAGAGACTTGACTGGCTGTAGATAAAGACCACATTTATAACATGGAGACCCTTTGTGACGTGTCTTAGCTTATCTGTCTTGCTCAACTCTCGGTATTACTACATTTACACACAGCGGTAGCCAGCGTGAGCACAAAAGAGCTTCCCGGCTTGTGTTTTTTTTTTTATTTTTGAGACAGTCTCACTTTATTGCCCTCCACAGAGTGCCGTGGCGTCACAAGGTTCACAGCAACCTCCAGCTGCTGGGCTTAGACGATTCTCTTGCCTCAGCCTCCCCAGTAGTTGGGACTACAGGCACCCGCACACCACCCAACTATTTTTTTGTTGCAGTTTGGCAGGGGCTGAGCTTGAACCTGCCACCCTCAGTATATGGGACCCACACCCTACTCACTGAGCCACAGCCACCGCCCGTCATCTTGTTTTTTTCTTACACTATCATTCCACTTTTTTTTTTTTTGAGACGGAGCCTCAAGCTATCATCTGTCACTTTGGGTAGAGTGCTGTGGCATCCCAGCTCACAGCAACTTCAAACTCCTAGGTTTAAGCGATTCTGTTGCCTCAGCCTCCCAAGTAGCTGGGGCTGCAGGTGCCCACCATAATGCCCAGCAATTTTTTTTTGTTTTTATTGTTGTAATTGTCATTGTTGTTTTTTAGCAGGCTGGGTTCGAACCCGCCACCCTTGGTGTATGTGGCCGGCACCGTACTCATCTGAGCTATGGGCGCTGCCCCTAAATTATATTCTTGTTTTGAGTGGTTTGATTATTACTAGCATGGAATCTTGAGTTGACTAAATGAAGATTTGGTATATCATTTGTGAATTAGTGTGAACTAAGTTTTGCTGTATTAGCTACTCTGAAGTCTCAGTGACATAACAAAGGTGTATTTCTTTTCTTTTTTTTTTTTGAGACAGTTTCACTATGTCACCCTCAGTAGAGGCATCACAGCTCACAGCAAACTCAAATTCTGGGGCTTAAACGATTCTCCTGCCTCAGCCTCCCAAGTAGCTGGCAGTACAGGTGCCCACCACAATGCCCACTTATTTTTTGTTGCAGTTGTCACTGTTGTTTAGCTGGCCCAGGCTGGATTCGAACTTGCCAGCCTCAGTGTACATGGCTGGTGCCATAACTACTGTGCTATGGGCGCTGAACCACAGAGGTATATTTCTTGCTCATTCTTCGTGCCTGAAGTCCTATGTAGTGATGTGCCTCTTAGAGGCACATCGGGATCCAGTTGGATTAGAGATTCTTCTCAAGATGTACCAGTGCTTCCTTAACATACGTCGCTGAGGCGGGAAGAGGAGATGTGCAGATTTCCTGGGGGCCTTCAGTCTTCCTACCCAGAGGGGCTGTCCCTTTTTATGTGTCTCATGGATCAGTGTAAAACTCACAGCCACGCCTACATTCCAAGATCAGAAAGAACAGTCCAACCCTGTGCTCAGGAAAGGGGATCTTTGTCACTAGCCCTAGTGACTGTCACAGTTTCCCTGGAAGAGTTTTCTAAAAATCATTCACAGTAGTGTTGTCAGATTCTAGTTTATCCAAATGTCAAACTAATACTCAGCATTTCAGCTTGTGATTGGCTATCATAACTGCATCAACTATGTTACATTTTCAGCATCTAACAATTATATTATGATTATGTAAGAGAATATCCTTGTTAAAAGCAAGGGTCATGTTTGCAGCTTACTGCCCCATGGTGAGCAGTAGTGGCGTGTGTGTGGAGAGGGAAGGCAAATGGCGACAGTGGGGAATTCAGTTGGTGAGTCCAGTAGGAGAAGGACACACAAGAGTTTGTTGTACTATTCCTGCAAGTTTTCTATACATCTGAATTTTTTTCAAAGGAAAATTAAGAATCAAATAGCACAAATTCACACAGCCCTTTATAAACATCAGTATTAACCACTTTTTTTTGGTACTATTTTTTGCTTTTCATTCTGATTGTCATTTTGAAAGTACTTCTCAGAGGCCTGTAAAAAAAATGCCTGGACTGTATTAATTGACCTTTCAAAACAAAGACTGAGACCCAAACATTAAACCTGTTTGGAAATCTGATCTCTTTAAATCACAAATAATGCCAGATTTCATTAAAAAGACTCTTGTTTTTCCTTCTAGTTGGTTGAAATGTTGGATATGTCTGTCCCTGCGGTTGCTAAACTGAGACGTCTTTTAGATAGTCTTCCAAGGGAAGCTTTGCCAGACATTTTGACATCAATTATCCGAACAAGCAACAAAGAGAAGCTCCAGGTACGGTGTTCCTTTCCTGAAGGCCGTGTTGCTTCCTCACTCTGTATTTAGCTCTCTATAGGGGATAGGTAAGCTGACCTTCAAGAAAAAGATAGCGGAGACTCGAAGGAATAGTGGAAAATGTTTGTATACTTAAGTTGATGTAAAAGTAATTGTTTTACATTTTTGCTTATACTGACAACTTTTTTATTATATTTGTACCGTCAATACTAGTAATTATTCAATTTATGGTAAAGTTAAAACAAAGAATCAATAAAAGGTAAATATTTAAATGTATAAACATACTTTGCCTTAATGATTTTTGAAACATGTGGAACTGTGGCCTGCCTTTTTTTTGAGACAGAGTCTCACTCTGTCGCTCTTGGTAGAGTGCGGTGGAGTCACAGCTCACAGCAACCTCAACCTCTTGGGTTTAAGTGATTCTCTTGCCTCAGCCTCCCAAGTAGCTGGGACTACAAGCACCTGCCACAGCCCCCAGCTATATTTTTTAGAGACATGTTCTTGCTCTTGCTCAGGCTGATCTGGAACTCCTAAGCTCAGGCAATGCACCTGCCTTGGCCTCCCAGAGTGCTGGGATTACAGGTATATGATCCACCATGCCCAGCCCTGTGGCCTTTCTCTTGTGTATAACCTGCTTTTCTTTCTTAGAAAGTTCATGATATTTCTTACATAAGTCAGACCTGTGGTACATTATTTATGATTTTCAGTTTCTATTTCTTTAAAGTGAAATGAGTTTTAAAGACACTTGAAAAATAATCCAAGTATAGAATGCTAGATTTTCCTGACTTAATCCCCAAACTATAAAACTTTGTTTCCTTATACACTTATTTTTAAGGAGTCTTTTTTTATTAAATGTTCCTGGAACATTTGTTAATTTTCACTGCAACAACTCTTTCTTATCAGTAATACATAAATCCAGCAATTAAAATAGCAAATGTAACTAATACAAGTAGGTTGGTTATGGATACAAGAATCGGGTCAGCCTGTGCAGGTGCGTGGGAGTCCCTAGTGGAGACGTCAGGGGGTGTGTGTTTTACTGAGGGAAGGACAGCAGTGACTCTGACGATTCCTTAGCAGGATTGGTAGATTATTTCTATTTGCTTGTGTGTAAACATTCCCTCTTTTGAACTTAGGATTTATTTAGTCCTAACATGTAGTCACGTTCTGGTCTTTAAGAGGATAATTTCCAGAAGGAACTTGATTTTTCAAAAACCGAAACTGTGCGTATGTTGTTTTGATCTTAAGAACACAAGATTGGCTTCATTTATACATGAAAAGTGAAGATCTTTTTTTTTTTTTTAATTTTGAGGCAGAGTCTTACTATATCGCCCTTGGTAGAGTGTCATGGCATTACGGCTCACAGCAACCTCAAACTCTTGTGCTCAAGCAATTCTTGCCTCAGCCTCCCACACAGCTGGGACTACAGGCGCCTGCCACAGTGCCTGGCTATTGTTTTGTTATTGTTGTCATTGTTGTTTAGCAGGCCTGGGCCAGTTTCAAACCCGCCAGCTCTGGTGCACTTGAGCCTGAAGAGCCTTTTTCTATGTCTTTTTTATAATTCTGATATCGCAAAGAACCTTGCTGATTTAATATAGTTTGGTTGTGTTAGCCATACTATGGCTGTAAGTAGATAGTAATTGTTTTCTTTTTTGCTTAGCAATACTTAAGCTATAGCTCTGGCTGCCTGCCTGCCTTTGGAGTGTGTTTCTGAGGGAGTCTGAGTTGACTCACATGTCCTTAGATTTTAGATGCTGTGAGCCTGGAGGAACGGTTCAAGATGACTATACCACTGCTTGTCAGACAAATTGAAGGCCTGAAGTTGCTCCAGAAAACCAGAAAACCCAAGCAGGATGATGAGAAGCGGGTAAATATTTCTTTTATCTATTTCAGGTTTGATGTTCTGTAGCTAGAAAAATGAAAAAAAGAATTGAGGGGAATAAAAAGGGAACAAAGAAGAAGGCCATTTTTTGTGGCTGAAGTCACTGATAAAATGTAGGTGTGTTTTCCATGCCTGGGTATTTTTATTTTATTTTATTGTTTTTTCTTATTTATTTATTTTATTTATTTTTTTGAGACAGAGTCTCACTATGTTGCCCTTGGTAGAGTACCATGTCATCACAGTTCACAGCAACCTCAAACTCTTGGGCTTAAGCAATTCTCTTACCTCAACGTCCCAAGTGGCTGGGAGTACAGGCACCAGCCATAACGCCGGGCTATTCTTTTGTTGCTGTTGTAATTGTTGTTTAGATGGCCCGGGCTGTGCTTGAACCCGCCAGCCTTGGTGCATGTGGCTGGGGTTGTAACCACCGTGCAACCCATATTTTTTTTTTATGTTATTTTATTTTATTTTATTTTATTTTGAGACAGAGTCTGTCTGTGTCACTCCAGATAGAGTACTGTCGCATCACAGCTCACAGCAACCTCAAACTTTTGAGCTGAAGTGATCCTCTTGCCTCAGCCTCCCAACTAGCTGGGACTATAGTGGCCACAACATCTGGCTAATTTTTCTATTTTTAGTAGAGATGGGGTCTTGCTTTTGCTCAGCTGGTCTGGAACTCCAGAGCTCAAGGGATCCACCTGCCTCGGCCTCCTAGAGTGCCAGGATTATAGGTGTCAGCCACCACACCTGACCTGGATTTTTTTAAAGGTATATAAGCATTTTTCTCATTCTTTTTTTGTTTGGTTTGGTTATCTTCCAAAAAGATAATTTATGTGCCATTTCCCTTTTTCAAACATTTTGTGGTGTTTCCAGTGTTTTGCATATTTTAAAAACTAGTAAATAACTATATTTTAAAAACTAGTAAATAACTAATTACTTCTTGTAAGTAGTTCCTTGATTTTTATTTTCTCGTGTAATATTATAAGCATATATCAAAGAATCACGGTCTACCTTATGTTGATCTCATCCCGAAGTTCTGCAGCCCTGTGGGTCCGAGTCTGGGCACGACGTCTGCTCAGTTACCTGTGTCGCTCACCTGCACCTTCCCAGACTGTCAGCTGTAGAAGATCAGCTGTCAGTCTCTCTTTGTATAAGACAGAGTGGGGGGGTCTTGATGACAGAATCGGGTATGCAGGTTGATTGCGTGATCATTCTGAACTTTAGTTCTTAAAGATGCATGGACTGTAACCGTCTAAAGATGTATAGACTTAAAAGTGTTTATGCTGTTAGGCACCAGTTTATGACAATTACAGCTTCGCACGTGTGCAGCCAGGCCCTCATTCCCAGTTTACTGTGGCCTGTGGTTTTACTCTTCCTCTTTCCCCTCAGGTCATAGCAATACGCCCTATCAGGAGAGTTACACACATCCCAGGCACTTTAGAAGATGAGGATGAAGATGAAGATAATGATGACACCATCATGCTAGAGAAGAAAATACGGACGTCCAGCATGCCAGAGCAGGCTCACAGAGTCTGTGTCAAAGAGCTGAAAAGGTAAACTGTGCTCAGTAGTGCTGACAGTTACTGCTCAAGGAAAGATGGCTGTGCTGCTGTGATCACAGACTGAGCCCGAGCCACGTGTTTTGTGTTCTCTGTTCTTTTCTTAGGCCCATTATGCTCACAGACCACCCTGTTCATCTATCTTAGGCCCATTATGCCCACAGACCACCCTGTTCATCTATCTTAGGCCCATTATGCCCACAGACCACCCTGTTCATCTATCTTTCCATTGCCAGCTCTTTCAAGCCTTTGCAAATGCTCAGTGTACACCTTTAATCTGTGGAATGCTTTCTCCTCCTCAGTTTTCACCTGGAATCTAATTCTTAAGGCAGTCTCTCTCTCTTTTTTTTTCTGATAGTCTCACTCCATCACCCTGAGTAGAAGGGTGTGGCATCATCATAGCTCACAGCAACCTCAGTCTCTTGGGCTGAGGCAGTCCTCTTGCCTCAGCCTCCCAAGTAGCTGGGGCTTGATGCCTGGCTACTTTTAGTAGAGATGGTGTCTCATTCTTACTCAGGCTGAGCTCAAGCTGTCCTCCTTCCTTGACCTCCCAGAGTGATAGGATTGCAGGCATGAGCCACCACACCCAGCCTTTTAAGGCATTCTTTTTCTTTTTGAGGCAGAGTCTCACTATGTTGCCCTTTGTAGAGTGCCATGGTGTCACAGCTCACAGCAACCTCAAACTCTGGGCTTAAGCAATTCTCTTACCTTAGTCTCCCTAGTAGCTGAGACTACAGGTGCCCTCCACAACGCCCAGCTATTTTTTTTTTTTCTGGTTCTAGTTGTCATTGTTGTTTGGCAGGCCCAGACTGGACTGGAACCCGCCAGCTCTGGTGTATGTGGCTGGCGTCCTAGCCACTGCACTATAGGTGCCAAGCCCTCTTAAGGCATTTTTAATACTCTTGAAATAGCATCACTCTCACTAATACTTTTCCCAAATACTGAGGATGAAAAATACAGTTCTTCCACCTGCAGTATGCTGTCCACATTGTAACTATCATATCTGCCTTTTCATTGTCTAAAAGGATGCACCATACTTCTTTGTTTTGAGAATGTTTGTTCATTTATCCATATGTTCTTTGCATATCACTGTTTTCTTTAGATTGAACTCTAGAGGGCAAGGACTATTAGTTTTTCTTTGAACAAGACAAAGTATGGGGAAATCTTGATTTGAGAATAGGATATATGAGTTGACTGTATTTTCTGGATAACCATGCTTAAATCAAAAATTATTTTTTCCTTACATACTTAGAACTTTATAACCATCTTGGAAGTTCTTTTATTTTCTGGATAACCTCAGTTAAATAGAAAATCATTTTTTCCTTACATGCTTACAACTTTGTAAATATCTTGCGAATTCTTTTATTAGTGAATTATAATGAGCCTGCTTGAATGCTTGGTGACTTAAAGTTTGACCTTCTGAGGTTCCCGATTGAGAACATTAGTAAATGTATTGAAGGGTATTTTGTATTGATTCTGACATTAGTTCATAAATGTAGACCATCTCTTATGGGCTGAGCATGGTGCTAAGCAGTGTGTGTATGAGTGCATGTATTAAGGAAGCTGCATGTTTTTGTTTTCTTTTTAATTTTTTGAGACAGAGCCTCAAGCTGTCGCCCTAGGTAGAGTGCTGTGGCATCACAGCTCACAGCAACGTCCAACTTCTGAGCTCAAGTGATTCTCCTGCCTCCACCTCCCAAGTAGCTGGAACTACAGGTGCCCGCAACGATGCCTGGCTATTTTTGGTTGCAGCCTTCATTGTTGTTTGGCGGGCCCAGGCTGGATTTGAACTCACCACCTTAGGTGTATGTGGCTGGTGCCTTAGCCACTTGAGCCACAGGCGCCAAACTGGAAGCTGCATTTTTTATTATATACCTGATACTAGCTTGCTTTTATGAGCATACTTCATTTCTGATACAAAAATATATATATAATTATTGTGTTATATGTGATTAGGCACTTAACTCTTATTATAATGTGTTACTTGAGATTCCCTATAAGCTCAAAATGGACAGATGGTGAGGCCTTATATCCAGGATAGCATTAGATACTGTTTTTCCCCTCTGGTTGCAGGGATCTGTTTTATTTTGTTGTGTAAGTGCATGACCAAACACAACAACATTTTTGTTACCTAGACACTTGTAACCAAATATGCATGATCTATGGAACCAAGAAAGTGAGCTTCACTTGATTTTTCTGTCATTCTGAGATTCTTCTTCGTTGTTAAGTGTGTTTGCTGTGTATTCTTTCCCCACAGACTAAAAAAAATGCCTCAGTCAATGCCCGAATATGCTCTGACTAGGAATTATTTGGAACTTATGGTGGAACTTCCTTGGAACAAAAGCACAACTGGTGAGCTAACAACACCGCTTTTTTTTTGGAAATGGTCTCACTATATCACCCTCCACTGTCCGTAGAGTGCTGTCGCATCACAGCTCACAGCAACCTCCAACTTCTGGGCTTAGGTGATTCTCTTGCCTCAGCCTCCTGAGTAGCTGGGACTATAGGCGCCTGCTACAACGCCCGACTATTTTTTTGTTGCAGTTTGGCCAGGGCCGGTTTTGAACCAACCACCCTCAGTATATGGGGCCGGTGCCCTACCCACTGAGCCACAGGCACCGCCCCAAGTATAGAGGTTTTTTTTTTTTTTTTTGCAGTTTTTGGCCAGGGCTGGGTTTGAACCTGCACCTCCAGCATATGGGGCTGGTACCCTACCTCTTTGAGCCACAGGTGCCGCCCAGGTATTGAGTTTTTAATTGTAAATATCTACTATCTCTAAAAACACTAAAAATTTTTTTAATTTGTTTTTTATTTCAAATTAATATGAGGGTACAAATTTTTAGGTTACATTGTTCTTACTTACAGAGTAAAGTTCCATTTGTAAAAGAGCCCTTCACCCAGGGGGTGTGTTATACACCCTCACAATATGCACTTGAGGTGAGATTCCCACCTCGTGCACCCCCCCGCCACATGTCCGCCCCCCACCCTCATTCTAGACTACTTCATATGAGCATGTAATTCTTTATGTGTTGGTTTCATATTAGTATAGAGTACATTGCATATTTATTTTTCCATTGTTGTGATACTTTAGTAAGAAGAATGTGTTTCATCTCTGTCCAGGTAAATGTAAAAGATGTAAAGTCTCCATCTTCTTCTTTTTCTTTTTCTTTTTTTGAGACAGAGTCTCACTGTGTTACCCTCAGTAGAGTGCTGTGGCATCATAGCTCACAGCAAGCTTAAACTCTTGAGCTTAAATGATTCTCTTGCCTCAGCCTCCCACATAGCTGGGACTATAGGCACCTGCCACAATGCCCGGCTATTTTGTTGTTGTTGGAGTTGTCATTGTTGTTTTAGCTGGTCAGGGTTGGGTTTGAACTCACCAGCCTCGGTGTATGTGGCCCGCACTCTAACCACTGAACTATGGGCACCACCAAGTCTCCATCTTTTTAATGGCAATAATATTCCATGGTATACATATTCCACATTTGTTGATCCATTCATGGGTTAATGGGCACTTAGGTTGCTTCCACAACTTATGATTTATGAATTGAGCTGCAGTAGACATTCTGGTGCAGATGTCTTTGGGTAAAATGATTTATGTTCTTCTGGGTAGATACCTAGTAATGGGATTGCAGGGTCAAATGGAAGGTCTACTTTCAGATCTTTGAGCATTCTCCGTGCTTTTTCTCTCCAAAAAGGCTGTATTTGCAGTCCCACCAACGATGTAGAAGCGTTCCCTTCTCTCCACATCCACCCCAGCAGCTGGTGTTTTGTGACTTTGTGATGTGGGCTAGTCTTGCTGGGGTTAGGTGATATCTTAGAGTGGTTTTGAATCGCATCTCTCTGATGGGCATTTTTTCACGTGTTTGTTGGCCATTTGTCTGTTCATTCTTGGAGAAGTTTCTGTTCACATCACTTGCCCACTTACAGAGAGGGTTGTTTGCACTTTTCTTATTGTTTAATTTGAGTGCTTTATAGATTCTAGTTATCCGGTCTTTGTCAGATTCATAACATGCAAAAATCTTCTCCCATTCCAAAGGTTGGCTGTTTGCTTTGTTTGTGGTACAGCTTTTCAGCTTGATTAAGTCCCAGTTGTTTATTTTTGATGTTGCTACAATTGCTGGGGGGGTTGGGGGTGGTCTTTCTCATAAAGTTTTTTTCCCAGGCCACTATCTTCAAGAGTTTTCCTCACACTCTCTTCTGGAGTTTTTATTGTTTTGTGTCTTAAAGTTAAATCTTTTATCCAGTGAGAATCAATTTTTGCCAATGGTGAGAGACACGGCCCCAGCAGAAACATAGGGCTCCTTGAAGACTCATGTGGGCAGATCCAAACCCATTCGTTTTTATTAAAAAATACTCTGGCTCTTGTCAGGCTTGAAAGGAGTTGTTTTACTTTAAAATTTCCATGTGCTGGCTCGGCGCCTATGGCTCAACCGGCTAAGGCACCAGCCACATACACCTGAGCTGGCGGGTTCGAATCCAGCCCGGACCCGCCAAACAACAATGATGGCTGCAACCAAAAAATAGCTGGGCCTTGTGGCGGGCGCCTGTGGTCCCAGCTACTTGGGAGGCTGAGGCAGGAGACTCGCTTGAGCCCAGGAGTTGGAGGTTGCTGTGAGCTGTGAAGTCATGGCACTCTACCCAGGGGGACAGCTTGAGGCTGTGTCTCAAAAAAAAAAAAAAAGTTCCATGTGCTTAAGTTGTTTCTGTTGGATTATATGACAGACCGCCTGGATATTCGGGCAGCCCGGATTCTTCTGGATAATGACCATTATGCCATGGAAAAATTGAAGAAAAGAGTGCTGGAGTACTTGGCTGTCCGACAGCTGAAGAATAACCTGAAGGGCCCGATTCTCTGCTTTGTCGGCCCTCCTGGAGTTGGTAAGACAAGTGTGGGCAGATCAGTGGCCAAGACGCTGGGTCGTGAGTTCCACAGGATCGCGCTGGGAGGAGTCTGTGACCAGTCTGACATCCGCGGACACAGGTAGATGCTTCTCTCGGCTTTTCTCTGACTGAAGCCCCCCAAAAGCTGCAGCTTAACGTGTCTGTTTTTCTTAAAGGGCTATTTGTGCTGCTTTTAATGGAAAGGACACTTACATGTAATTAGCCTGTAAGCATCAGCAGCATATCCCTGGCATTTGTGTGACAGTATAGAGCTACTCTGTCCCTCAGCTGTCATGGACTCTCCCTTGAATGTGATTATAAATTCTTATGGTTGGAATGTTTTTACATTCTTTTTAGCTCAGCATCTTTTTAGCTCAGCATTTCATAAATAATGACCCATAGCTATTAGAGTTTAAAGAAATAATTACAATAAGTAGGGCCTATAGGATTAGGTAAGTGATCTTTGATAACAAATTTATTCCATTTTAGTTAAAAATTCCTTTTTTGAAGGCCAGTTTGTATTATGAAAATGAGCAATAAGGAAAACATTGGTATAATTACTAAGGCTCATCCTTGCATTAGGACTCACTACTGTAAGACTGTGTGTCTGGTTAACGTGACCCGAGTGGACTCGGATTCGCATGTTGCGTTCATTGCTTTGCTCTCACCGGTCTTTCTGTTGCCCTGATGGGAAGATGCCTGAGAAAGCAGGAACTAGACTTCATGGTTTAAGACTGTGAGGAGACATACCCAGAGCACACGTGTTAAAGAACATCTTCAGACGTAGAACAGTGAGCAGTGCCGGACTGTGAGCTGCTGATAAAAGCAGACGATGCTTTTTTAACATTCTTTCCCATTTGCCTTATTCAGAAACTGTTTCAGAAACTTCTCTATGAGAAACATGCATTTTTATTATCTTTTATGTGCTTACTTATAATTCTTATGAATAAAAAAGGAATCATTCCACAATCTTAGTGAATAAGCAGTGAGGGCTGCGGATCAGGTGGGCAGTCTTCAAAGATATTTTTATTGCCTGAACTGTCTTATTCTCGTCTGTGCCACTAGAGGCTGCGGTTTGCTTTTGCAAAGAAATTGGCATTGTCACTCTGAGACTAACCTTGCGGAAGCCGGGTCCAGGGCCCCATCTTCTAATCGGCGGTGCAGAGCCTTGGGGAGTTGGTCCCCATTTAAGTGATTGGATTAATACTCCGAGTTGTTTGGGTTATTTCCTTCCTTTTCTTGCCTGTAGAGTGGTATTGTATTTGATGGGATTTAAAGCATGAATTTATGGAATTAATGTTACGTGGAATTGATGTCATGGGCACATAACGTATAGGTAATTTGTCCTTATGCCTTTCCATACTGGTATTGATTATTCAGTAAGGCTTTAACTATTTTAGTTCTAAATTGTTAGGAGGACAAATTTAGATTTATAATCTTCAGTGTGGCTTTTCATAAACTTCCATTTGATTTTTTACATTGCATTATTCTAAAATATTTAGCCTGTTCTCAGCATTATTATTTAATTTATATAGTAGAATTATGTAAAAATATGTTTCTCTGTTGCCTAGTGATGGACAAGTATAATGTCATGGTTCTCATAATTTGTGAACATTGTTGGTTTTAAACTGATCTCTGTTTTAAATCTTTACTGAGAATTTGTTCATTTTTTTCACGTAAATAGTTTTGTGTGTTTGGCTCTGTTGAGTGTAATATAAGTAGATGTCATCTCTGAAAAATGTTTTTTTAAAAAATTAACTGAGTGTGGTCGCATGCACCTGTGCTCCCGTGCACCTGTGCTCCCAGCTCCTACGGCTCCTGAGGATCATTGGAGGCCAGGAGTTTCTGACCAGTGTGGTGCATATAGCAAGACCCTGTATCTCTTTTTTTTGGGGGGGGGGAGAGAGTCTCACTGTGTCCTCTTGGGTAGAGTGCTGTGGTTTTATAGTTCACAGCAACCTCAAACTCTTGGGCTGAAGCAATTCTCTTGCCTCAGCCTCCTGAGTAGCTGGGACTACAGGGACCTGCCACAACACCTGGGTGTTTTTAGAGAAGACAGGGTGTCACTCTTGATCGGGTGGTCTTGAACTCCTGAGCTCAGGTGATCTACCCACCTTGCACTCTCAGAGTGTTAGCATTATAGGTGTGAGCCACTGCACCTGGCCTAAGACCCCATCTCTTAAAAAAGAAAGAAAAGGAAATTGAGTCTGAAGAAAATAAGAATTTACTTTATGAGTCTTTTGTAAAAGGAGGTTATGGCTCAGCGCCTGCATCTCAGTGGTCAGGGCCCTGGCCACATACACTGGGGCTGGTGGGTGCAAACCAGGCCTGGGCTTGCTAAACAGCAATGACAACGACAACAACAGCAAGAAGGAGCTGGGGCGGCGCCTGTGGCTCAGAGGAATAGGACACCAGCCCCAGACGCCAGAGGTGGTGGGTTCAAACCCAGCCCTGGCCAGAAACTGCAAAAACAAATAGCCGGGCATTGTGGTGGGTACCTGTAGTCTTAGCTACTTGGGAGGCTGAGGCAAGAGAATTCCTTAAGCCCAAGAGTTATGAGCTATGACACTACGGCACTCTGCTGAGGGCAACGTGATGAAACTCTTATCTCAAAAAAAAAAAAAGAAAAAGGAGGTTATGTTACAGTCTCTATGCCTAAAATATTTTTAAATTTATGCTTTTTAGAAATGTATGGTTATATTGAGGTTGCAATCATTGCCAAATAAAAAGTATCTAGGGCTGGGTGCTCATACCTATAGCACTCTGGGAGGTGGAGACAGGAAGATCACTTGACTTCAGGAGTTTGAGACCAGCCTGAGCAAGAGTGAGACCCCCCCATCTCTACAAAAATTAGAAAAATTAGCCAGGTATGGTGGGGGTGGTGGCTGTAGTCCCACCACCTACTCAGGAGGCTGAGGCAGGAGGATCACTTGAGCCCAGGAGTTTGAGGTTTCTGGGAGCTATGATGATACCACTGTGCTCTAGCCAAGGTGACAGAGCGAAGTACTATCTCAAAATAAAATTAAAGGCGTCTGGATTTGCCTTGTGGCTTGTTCTGTAAGGCTGGACTTAGAGATGCCTTGCTGGTGAGCACTCCCTGGCCGTCACCCTGCTGGATGCTGCATTAGACACTACAGCAGCCTGTTCTGTTCTGTTGGAGACTAATTGCCTAAATTAAAGTTTTGTAAAAATTTTTATTTGAGAACCTGTAAGCACATGGAGAGAGGTGAGGTACAGCTGTGAAGAAAAGCAGAGGGTGAAGGCAGAGGGTGCCTGTGTGTGTCTGGAGTGGAAGGCGGACAGGAGAGGAGGAGGAACAGAGGGTCACAGCACCACTGTGGGTGGCATCCGGGGAACATGTGGCTCCATGTGACAATTGAGGCATTCGGGAGACACCCAGGTCTTGGCGTCCTGGTACTGGTCATGTGCTCATGATTAGAGTTCATGAAAAGTTTTGTTTTTCCTCAGTCTGACTGGGCACCACTGTTCTGCAGTTTGACAGCAGCCAAGGAGAAAGGAGAGCTGCTTCACGTTCTCTCAGCTTCTGTCACGCACCTCCCTTATTTCCCATGTGTGGACCTCCAGCCTTGCTAGAAGCACCTCCAGCCTTGCTAGAAGTACCTGCTTATGGGTGGGAAGGTGGTAACATGTTGGGAATTGATTTTAAAGATAACCAAAGATACATTTTTTAGATTTTAATGGTAATGAGGTGGGGAGGTGGGAGATGGGAAAGGAAAAGAAAGACTTGGTTTATATTTAAATCTTAAATTGGGAAAATAATAACAATCTCACATTTGCTTATGCTTTTATTTGTATTATTTTGAGTGGCTTAAAGAGAGAAAAATGTTTATGTTCCACATTAACTCTTGCAGTTTTTCATTTGGGTGTTATCCACAAAATACCTGTTCCCTTCTCTTTTTATAACTTCAATTTTTATATTTTAATATTACACTCAAATAATTTAAATCAATTCACAGAAATTAAATGTAAAATAACTTTTAGGATAAAGTTTTATGAAATTATGTATACATAACCTCTCAAGTCACTGTTCATAATTAACTTTTTGCAAGCACTTTATTAGCTTTTTGTTCAGATAATTAAACCACACACGTAAGGAATCATTGGCTCAGTTTTCAAACAAGATGATAAGAAAACGGACCTAAGAGTCCCATATTGGCAAATTTTCACATGCAGCCTGAAATGGTGAAGTTACAAATAAGCTGTTCATCATGGTCTCTAGGAAGGACAGATAACTGAAGCTGCAAGCTTTTAGTGTTCAGTGCAGTGTGTCAGACACAGTGCGGTTTGCTCCCTGTCCTCCGTACAGATGTGACTATAGCTCTCCTTCCAACCCAGAGCTTCCTCCATTAACGTGAGCGTAAGCAGCTGTAATCTAACTTTACTAAACTGACCGTTTACTATCTGTTTTACTCCCTTAATGATTAAATAATATAGGCCTCTGGCATTTCTAACATACAAGTGTGTAGATAAAACAGAAATACATGTATTAAAAGTACAAGCTTTGTTGTCAGAGGATTCATTATGTACCACCGGCCCCTTCCTATACCCCATGATGCTTGCCTCGCACAGTGCTAAGCATGGAAAGTGCCCTCTGGGTGCTTTGTAAATTCATGTAAGACTCAAACATAATCGTATCTTAGAAATCATGCAGTGCTTTAGATGAGTGCATCCATACAGATTCATCTATAGAGACATTTAGGAATGACTGCCAGAAGCATAACAATCAGATTTGTTTAGACATGTTAAAAATCCCAGTTCCTTAAAGACTGTTTTTCTTTTTGAGATCAGTAGGATGTTTGTTAAGCTGATTACTTTTTGTAGTTTGAGATAAACACATGCTCAAAATTGCTTGAGCTCAGGAGTTCAAGGCCAGCCTGAAAGAGAGAGACCACATCTCTATGAAAAATTAGCTGGGTGTTCTGGCAGGTGCCGGCAGTTGCAGCTGCATGGAAGGCTGAGGCAAGAGGATGGCTTAAACTCAAGAGTGTGCGATCACTGTGAGCTGTGATCCCATGACACTCTACCCCACTCTACTGCAGGGTGACAGAGTGAGACTCGGTCACACACACACACACAAAA